AATATTCTGTGCAAATATTTTCTTTACTCAAAATAATATATAATTTTTGAGTTGTGTGATTCTTTGAAGAAGGCTAACGTTTAACAAATTGTCAATATTGCATTTGCCTGTCTTTTTTATATATGACCAACAAAGAGCAAGAAAACGTGCGGATGCCAAGACTCGTTTATGATAATGACAAAAAAAAAGATATGCCAATTTTAAGATAAAGAAGAAAACTGACTGATTGAATTTAAAAATAAAGGGATATTCATCAGTTCCTTCTTTATTTAATCTGTTTTGCGGGACATATAAAATTTACATTTATGAAGCTATCCGTAAAGGTAAACAAAACGTTTGAAATTATCTCAACAATACGATATAATATTTTTTGTTTAGTTCTTACTGTCAAATTATCATTTGTCTTTTCTTATTTTTTTTTTATTATTATTAAGACAATTTAGAAATTAAAGTTTAATATCTTGCATGCCTCACTTTATGGTTGTTATAAACATTGTTCTAAATCAAAAATGTCTTATTTGTTTAATTTCAATTGATGTCGTGATTAATTTGAATTTAATTATTAGAATCAAATATAAATGTTCAATAACTGTTATATCAACAGATTCAAGCACAATAAACAGATGTGCTTTAACGGTTGTTATTTGATACAACTTTCAAGTCAGGAGTAATAAGCATAAAAACCTTCTTCATGTCATATATTGTAAAGGAGTCATTTCAAGGGCTTCCTAATGTATCAGGAATGAATGTCAGAAGTAAAACTGATTTTGCTCGTGGGTAAAAAAAACCCAAGAGCTAAAATTGATCAAACATTAAAAAGAGTGAGCAAAATTGTGTTGGTGGACATTAAGGTCTCACGACTCTCAACTAAGATGAATTAATGGATAATTTAATAATAATAAATCAAGCACGATTAAAATCATGAATCTAATGGTATGACAGCAGCTGGTTATTTATGCATTAAGATGCTGCATTCAGCAGCTAATTTTTTTTTGCAAAATGCTAAGTTAATTTTTTGAAGAAATGAACAAATTTCTTTCTCTCATTCATCTTAAAATTCAGATTATAGACTGACATTGATTTATGAGCTTCAATTCATTTTATGTCATTTTTGATTCGATTGCTAGTAACGAATGTCGAATATATGAAAAAAATAATCCATATTAATTTATATCTTCAAGCAAAAATAACGAATTAATATCTTAATTATGCTATACTTAATGAAAGGTTTACTTTTACTTTTATTAAAAATCATAAAGAACTGTTTTTAAAAAAAAGTTTTCATATTAATTGTGTTTGAAATATAAATAAATACATAGTATAATTAAAATGTATCTAATATTTGAGTTTAAAAATGTGCGAAAATAAAAACATAAAAATTATGTCATAATTTGTACTCCAATTTCTGCGATTTAATTGGGTTCAGCGCTAATTTTATATGATTTTTATTTCATTATGTTTATGACTTCTTTCAAATTCAAAGTTTCAATAACGAGCATGTGTGTTACAAAGCGTAGTGAGTACTTAATAAAAAGCTTTCGATAGTATATACGAATTACTTGCAATTCAAATTATTGCACTTGTCGTGTGTGCATTTGCATTCTACTGTCTGTCGTTGCTTTTCATGAAGCTTAAATGAAAAGACGTCGAGTGATTGCTGCTGCCTTTTTATTAACCTTGACTTGCATACATGAATATTACATATATTCGAACGAAAAGCAAGCGACACCGTGCGCGCTATAATTAATCGGCTTGATATATAAAACAAAAGATCAATATTAATTGAAAACAGTGTTGCAAATGTAGATGTCTACACTAGAGGAAAAATGTAGATTCTTTCCTAGAATTTAAGTAACGCAGACATAATATTTATGTTGATCAGTTCTATACGCAAATTTAATATTTTGTCTTCATAAAGACAATTTCTTTATGTAGACTTTGTCTAAATGTAGATACAAAAAATAATCTACATCAATTTTTAAGTAATTAAAAAGTCATTGTGTATTGTAATTGTATGTTGAAAATGCTTAAAATCGAGTTAAATTAACTTAAAAACATTGTAATTTCAATTGAGTAACATGTTTTGCTCTGTGTTGCTCATAATTTGACACAAAATTTGAATTTTTCAAAGCCGTTACAAATATTTTGGTTAAACTATTTAAACTTTTATGATTTTCCATAAAGATTTTTAAGTTTTTCTTTTGCAAAAAGATGCATCTAATGTATTGTTATAGTTTCAAATTGAGAGATCATAAAAATAACAGAACAGTAATGGTTTAATAGAAGTTTTCTTAAACTCACTGTAACTTTGTTAATTAAAGTAGAACTTAAAATTTTCTTTTATAAACTTAAAGACAGTCATATTTGCTAGCTTTTTTGTAATAAAAGCTAGTTATTAAGATGTTTCCTTCATATAGAAATTTCAACCTAAACCTAAAAATTAATTAAGCAAACTTGAAATACCGCCATTTTAATAATTTTATGCAAGTAATTCACTATTCTGATCATTTAATTACTCAGTGAAAGAATTTTTAAGATTGGTGAATCAGTTGCAGAGATATTGCATTAGCAACATGGTGTAAAATCGAATTTTCTCAAAATTGTTCGTGACGCTGAGCACTTTAAATTAATTTTCAATTATAATACAATGTCTAAGAGATACTTGTTATACACCAAAATATAGGTTTTGGCAAGGACTTTAAGAAAAACACAAGTCTTAAATACATATTTCGCATTATTGATTCAAAAATTGTAATTTATTGCTCAGCGTCACGAACAATTCATTTTTGATCTTACCCCAATAGATGTGTGGATACGTAATAAACAATTTTTACTTCTTTATATCTTACAAAAAAGGAGTGTAAGATCATATTTCTTATTAGCATATATGATTTTTTTACTTGATAAAGATGATTGTTTTAATTTAAGTTATACTGAAAAGGATTTTAGACTTCCCTCCCCCTTGTAATAAAATTTGAATGGAAAAACTCTCCCCTCTAAAATCGTTACGTCATGAGGGAACGGCTCCATATTTACTCATTTATTTTTCATAAAAACAACAAAAAAGACCATTGTGTACATTTCTTGAAGAAAGCCAAAATAAAGCTCTAGTATTTATACATGGACAAGTTATATATTGTCTCCATTTACACATTTTAAAACTGATTTCTTATGACTATAAGTGAATAAATTGATTTTCTTGAATGCTTTTCTGTTTTGTGGGCAAATACATTGAATTATATTAAAACAAATTTCCATTGAATTTTGGAAACATAGACTTTAAACTATATTTCTATCCCTGCTACACCTACAAATTTTTTTATTGAGTTTATTTCCCCAACTCTTTGTAACAATAATTAATTTCAAAAATTGACCTAAGATAAGATGGAGTCCGACAGTACTTGAAACTAAAGTGGAAGAGAGGAACTTGGTATATGATTAACATAAGAAAACGTTAAAGTGATGATTCATAATTTTGAGAATACTGGAGAAAAAAACTTGTGTATTAATGTGTTTATTTTTTGTCAAAAATACAAATTACGACAGCAATGATGTTAAGTTAAACATTTGTCCATCTAATAATTCTAAGCCTACACAATCGTTTGGTAGTATATTTGTTATTTGACGAATTTAATAAAAATAATGAATAAATAGGAATGAAGTAATCTGATCTCTACAACACAATTTTGAATTCTAAGTTGCTAATTAAAATTTAAAATTATTGTCATATTCTCTAAAACTTCCATTCATTAAAAAATTTATGAGGATCTTTACTTAATTCGATTTTTTTTTATGACCAATAAAAAATTCTTGTTCTGGTTATTATATTAATTTTCAATGACATAAGCTCTTTATTTGATTTCATTTTCTAAAAACCTTATCAATAATTAATTCCTTCCATAAAAGGGACTTATGAAAAATGAGCGATAACCTGTATGATAAACAATAACCTTTCCTTTTTTTTAAAAAAAAAATAGTGATATATAACCTGAGAAAATGTTTGAATTTTCAATACGGAACTTAGTTGATTTTTTTTGTTGCTAATATAAATAATTAAAAAGTTTTACTTTCTCGCCATATTTGGCATTGTTGATTTCTGTTGGGTGTTGAATCAAAATTCTTGAGTGTAAACATGGCTTTATTAATTTGTATTCGATGAAAATTTTAATCATTTTAAATTCTGATGTGAAAAACGCAGCAAAAACTATATAGTAACTTATAATAAAAAGATTTTCTAAGCTTTGGCAATACACAAAGTAACCGACTTTAATCAATATAATCTCGACATTTGTAGTACTAAAATAAATTTTTATTTTTATTTGAAATTTTTGCATTTTTAAAAAAGTTTTATTAAACCCACACTTTAATCTCTATTCTGAAAATTGCGTTACTCATATTCGTGACATACAAAAATTTTTTTTTTTTTTATTTTAAATGAAGCGCTTAATTTTCGTTCAATTGTCTGCATTGTTGGTTAATCTTCTTTCGCATAGTCGTTATGAATGGTCAGGAAGTTTGCTTGATGACTCACGTGATGTACAAAAATATATAATTTTAAAAGTAATTTGTTCTTGTATTTTACAAAATCAAAAATTTATTTAAGCTTGTGAAAACTTAATTTCTCTCATATCCTCAGCATTTTCCTAAACTTTTTTTGTTCATTCGCATCAAATACGATAATGTGTTTACAGATGATTTTTAAAGAGTAAAAAGTAAAATGTTGTTTTTCGTATTTGAATAATTTCTACATTCTTATCTAGCTGATTATATGAAGAAGGATAATAACTTCTTGTACATTTTTTTGATATAATGGTATAGTTCTCATTATTTAAGCATTTGATAGTTGAGGTCTCCATTTACGAAACAATGAATAATATTTTTCTGTATTCTTTAATTCTTTAACATATTATGTGTTGAATCCACTTGTGCTGAATGATCCATAAAAGTCTTAAAGTTATGATATACATTTTATTAAATTTTTATTTTTTATTTTTAAATAGAAATTGCTAGAGTGAGGGCTTCATTATTTCAAATAAATGGTGTACGAAAAGAACCACTTCAGCTTCCAGAACCAGACGGAGAGACAGTGACACTAAATGAAAAAGTATATGTACCAGTAAAAGAGCATCCAGATGTAAGTCTAAAACTTATTTTAAAATTATTCCTAGATTTTAGCTTTAATGTTCAATTTCTTTTAACCAAACTAAGATCTGTAAATAAGCTTAAATTAAAAAAATTTATGATTTTAAGACATCTTTATGGCTAATGAATATCTAAATTACATTTATTTTTTGAGTTTTTTAGTCTCGGGAAAGTTAAGTAAATTGATGAATTAATGGATAAGCAAACGATGGTTTTTGTTTTTTTTTTTTTTTTGGTGTGTATTTCATTTTATTTGTAATTAAGTAAATTTCTGTGTTACAAAATTAAATCACATTTGGTTTCATAGTGCATTTTGTTCTTAAAAATTATTGATAATTATTATTATTATTAGCATCACAATATATCTCATAGAATTTTTTAATCCCAGATTTAAATAAACTTCGTGAAAATTTGTTCTTAATTGTCTGCTCGAGAGAATTGTACACTACTAGCTATCTTATGAAGAAAGTTTGACTTCCTAGTTGGGTACGAGTACGACATTGACAGTTTGAATATTAAAACTATTTTTAAGCATGTTCGACATAATGTTTCTATTTTCATTATCTCTTTATTGCCTGAAATAAAAAAAAAATAACCTTTTGTAAAGGTTTTCCTGATTCTAAAAGAAAATAGGCACTGATGGAAATTTGTTTTATGAATTTAAATCCGGAAGTTTATATGAAAAATTGCGATTTCACATTTTTTTTGCCATATGTTCATGAAATCTACAAACCAAGATGTTTTTTTTTCGAATAGCAAGAATTGATTCATTTCTTCTTTTGCAAGAGGAAATAATAAATTAATAATTGAAAAATTGCTAAAAGAAAAGCTTATTTCTGAGCAGCAATATTTCATATTAAAATTTAAAAGTACCAGTTACAATCAAACTCAACTTTACTTTGCTTAAATTGTATTTCTTGTAGAAAACAAATCTAATCCATTTTTTCTAATCAACAGCCATACATCTGAATCTTATTTCCGTTTTTCTTCTTCTATACTAATCTATAAGTTATTCATAGACATAAGATGAATTTAGTTCATTAAAGCAAAAGATACAAGATGCTAGTTTCATTGACATTATTTTTTCGTTATGTATACTTTTATTTCTTCATATTTTGCCATTTATTTCTTTATTGTAGCGGATATGATGCGCTCTTAATTACTTTATGTGGTTTATTTTTTGACAGCATATGCATGTCTTTAATACTTATTAAGTATTAATTTCTTAGATTAACCTTTTTGCTTTTTAAATTTAAAAATGATAGATTCATTGATGTTTAGGATTTGTTATGGTAATTTAAAGCAATATAGTATCAAATAATTTGTAAACTTGGAGACTTTTAATTAGATTATAGATATTTTAACGAAGCAAGAAGAAATGTATTTTTAAATAAATTTTCTGCATGAAACAAATTTTCGTATAAGAGAAATAGGCAGAAAATTATTTGAATTGCGTATAATTGGTATCATTTAAAAATTCATCGTAATTTTGTTGCATTATATGCATAAAGTTTTATTATTGTTATTATTGCTATTTACAAGATTCACAAGAGATGCATTATTATAATACTTTTTTTTTATTTTAAGACCCGTTATGAATGTATCTTTCGGAAAGTATTACCAAAGATTATTAAATTTTGTGTGTGAACAAACTAGTTAAAGTTTAGCGAAAATAACAGAATGAAAAATAAGAAGAACAATGGTTTACTAGTTTATGGACATTTTTTGAATGCCAATATATTATAAGCCGTAGCTTGATTTCTTCGACATATATTTCACATTCTTCAAAAGGTATAAAATATTCAGGACGCATAATAAAGCAGTTAGATTGTGACGAATCACTGTACCTATGGTGTTACACTATACTACTTATTATATTGCTTTATGATGACACATTTAGTATCTCAATTGGCATCATTCCAATTTAATAAGTTTTCTACGATTTTAAAATGATTGATTTTATATAAAATGATTTATTGCTTTTTTTAATGTTGTAAAACCAGTTTAGCTGTATTGATATCAAAAAGTTGTAAAGATAATGTTTTCTTATCAAATAGTTGACTGCTTTAACTTTACATCCAATCAGCTTATGTTCACCAATGTAAAAGTTCTAGTTGAGTTTCTTATCTCAAAACATACACAAAAAAATCGAATTTATTGGATGCTTCTGAGGGCGTAAATTGTTGATTTTTGCTACTTTAACTTCAGTTGTATTAGTTGTTTTTTTCTGTTATTTTCCACATAAAAAGTGTAAATAAAAATATTTTGGTTCTCTTATCGCTAAAACGCGGTTTCTAGTATTCAGAAATCTTTGATATTTCGTCGATGAAGTTATTTCTACAGAGTTAAAACTGATTCAATAATATCTTGTAGTTTATAAATTAAAAAAAAATTATCAAGTTGTTATATTTTCAAAACATAAAAAATTTAAAAAACTTTGATTTTTTTATTTCAAAAAAAAAAGGGGAAATATACTTATGATGATCATGATCATGTGCTGTTTTGTGTTTTTAGTAGTATAAGAAAAGAATACGAGAGAAAAAAGAAAAAATAATTTTATCTTAAAGATTTTTTTCTTTCTTCCCTTCGTATGTTGTAAAAATAAACAAAATTATTTATTGCTGTAGCACACAATGTAGTGTCTTGTAGTTCGTTAAAGAATTACAGATGAAATATGTATAGTATTTATATTATATGAATGGTCTTTAAGCCCCCTCCAATTCCTATACGTTTTTCATTGAGTTGAACTTTCTTTAAAATAGACTAAATAAAATACAATTTACACCTAGAAAAGAAGAACTTCTTTTCATTGTCTGGGAAAATTTCATTTTCTTCTGTATTTTTTGATTGGATGTATAGCTATATAATATAGCTGCAATAAAAGTTCTTTTTATTTACATCTTATTCAATCAAATTGAAAAGCGATTTTATATTTCAAACTACCATATGGTCGATGGCATTAAATAACAAAATTCAATCGAAATACTATTTTTTTTTTCTTTTTGTATGATGAATCTAGGCCATGATTTTTCAAATTTTATTATTATATAGACAAAAAATGACAAATTCTATTCTATTTTGTTTCTGTCTACATATTTTTTCGTTTTAATTTTTTAAGGTGTGTAACAAACTTTTTCGAATGCTGTTACTATTCCAGTCTTGTGTTTTCTGTTTTGTCTCTTATTAGTATTGTTCTTTTTCTTAATAAAAGAAAATATTTGTTTCAATGATTTTTCTTTAAAAACTCAACTCTTAATGCTCTTTCGACTTTTTCTTACTTAAACATAAAAGTCGCATGCATAGAATGAAAAAAGATTTTTAAGCTTTTGATCAAGCATGAACAGATTATTTTTACATGTAACATTTTAATCTAGTTTTTTTTGAAGTTGATTAAATATAGTAACTGCTTGACAATAGAAGAGTTTTTATTTGTATATAATTTTTAAACTCATATCGATGGTATCTCAATTTACGAATGCTGTTTTTATAGCAAACACTAAATTGTACATAAAGTTGATAAATTTATGATTATGGTGTAATTTTTCCATAAATACTGACATTGGACGAATGAATAAATAATTTATGTGACTTACTTATAAGACGCTTAACATGCAGTTATAGGCACACTCGAATGTCTTAGTTGGCAAAAATTATTATTCAAGTGAATTTTAATGAAAAAAAAAAAATCTTTGAAACATTATTTTATTTAACAATGAAACAAAAGTAAACAATAGTACTATAGCCAATTAAGTAACAATATATTTCTCTTGTTTTCTTAATTCCTTCTTACATTTTTACTCCTCCAAATAGCTTTATTGCTTAAAATGCACACGGGAAGTGACGGATTTTTTTTTCTTTATATGTGTGCTGTAAATCGAACAAGAAATAGGTCGTGTCTGAGGAAGAAATGTCTAATTTATTTATTTTTTTAAATTTAGAACTATACACTTCTGTAAATAGAAAAAGTTCCTACTTGCATCTCTAGAAACATATTTTTTAATTTAAATTACATCAGTTTGACGATGGTTTCCAAACGACAAACGTTTTTTTTTTAATTGAAAAATACATTTCACATTTTTATTTATTCAATCATAATGTAAGAAGTATTATATTGATGAAAATTGATTTTTAAGATTTTTGACTTATATGGCATAGTTGTAATTCAAAAGTATTACACTTGATGACTGAATCTTGAATCTTTGGGTTACGGTATTATTAAAAAAATCAGTAAGGGTGAAATAAAAAAGCATATAATTCTTTCGTTTGAAAAAATATATGAATGTTAATACTAAATACTTTTTGTTACCATAAGCGAATTTTCAGATTTGTCATGCAATTACATTGTAAATGAATTATATGCGATTTGTTTTATTCATTTTGATTCACGTTCACGTATTCACCATGACTGCTTATAAAAAATGTAATACTTGTGTTTTGACTGGCGCTCAAACGAGTTGCATAGATGAAAATTTAAAATTATGCGAGACAAATTTATGCAAACTACTTGAATGGCGTTGTATGAATTTCCAATCAAATTAATAATACCTAATTGGTTTTAAAAACGCAAATTTAACTCTCATTCACTTTTCTTATAATAATTACACGTTAAATTAAGCTACAGATATTTCATTGAAGACCTTCGCAAAATTGAGTTTTCGCAAAATCTCTTCTTGATATTTTTTTGCTACCAAAAAAAAAACAATATTTCTTGCCTACGACAATATGAAAATAGTTGAGAATAAATATTGAAACAAAAAAATAAACATCCTTGATTTTTAGTCGGTACTTGTTTAAGTTTCATGGCTTAACATTTTTATTATATTTTTAAATATATTTTGAAATAAAGCTCACTTTTTGAAATTAATACGTAAAGATAGTAACCACGGGGGTACAGAAACTCTTCTTCTTGTAGTATTTACTATGGTCGGTTATGCAATTTTGATACCAATATTTATGCTTTAAATATATAACATTATTACAATAAACGCAATTAGTTAATTTGCAGGTTTTACTAGTAACGGTAATCGAGCGAAACATGAAGCGTGCTGTTGCGTGGTTTACACTTTCAGATTATGTTGTGCAGATGCTACACGATAATTGATATATTTGAAATGAGTTTTACATATGAGGTTTTTTTCTTACTTTTTACATTCTGCTGAATTTTAAATTCTGTATTTTAATAATTTTACTGCTTTAAGCTGTCAATAACCTTTGAGGTTTTGCTTATAAATAACGTATTTTTCTGAAAGAACATAAAAATCAATTCTATTAACATCGTGATATATCGACTTTGATGATTAATTTGCAATGAAATAATGCAACGCTTGGATCTTTCATATTTTATTGTAACATTTGATAATGTGATTGAAAATAAACTTTAGCATTTAGACCTTAAGATCCATAGCTACGCGTTTTATGCGTTACTATGGTAATGAAAGTTTAACGAGAGAGGGTTTGCAAGACCTCCCACTCAAACCTAGAGCTACAGTTTATAGTGGTTTATTGTGAATGTTTTAGGTTTCGACTCCCGATCAATTAAGCAAATCTCCCATTGTATAATAAAACCCAAAGCTTTAGCTTTGTGGCTGGAAACTTTTTAAATTTATAATTTGTTACGAAAATAAAAGCTTATTTGTGAGTTGAATTAGAATTCATTGAAAAGATTTTCTTTATTCCAGTTCTCTTTACTAAATATGGTGATACGATTGCAAAGTGTTGAAAATGATCTCATTGTTTAATTTATCGACATTGCACTATTGCCGTAAATATGATGATGAAATTCATCAGAAATTTAATTTTTTTTTCTCTCTTGTTTTCGAGTATGTGAGCGTTTAATTTGCATTCAATAATGGAAGCCGATTTATTTTATTTTAATTCAAAAGCGGTTTTTACTGTGTACTCTCTATTTGGCACTTAATGAAGCTTCAAAATTTTAAATTTTAAACGAATGAAATGCGCACATGCTAATGTGTAGGCAGTAAATATATCGTAATGATGAAAATTATGATGAGATAATCTAAAATAATTGATGGTGACTCAATGATCATATTTTTTGACTTTGTTTTTTGATGTAATTTTGTAAGCATTATGACAATGTATAAATGCCAGTGAAAAATTTTTATTTTATTTGATTACATTTATTAATTGACTATTAATGGATCTTTAATCAAGCCACTATCCTTTAAATATTTTAAAAATAAATCACATTTAGTTTAGTGCTCTCTGCAAAAAAAATTCAACATGTTTGTTTGATCATTTCCTGTGATAATTTTCATTTAAAAATGCATTAATTATAAATTAAGAGACGGCAAGAGACTTTAATGTTTGTGTCAAAAGCAGAGTTTCAATACCTTTTCAAAGATGATTATTTCGATGGACGATTTATGAACTTCATGAGCAAACAAATTAAATGCTTTGGTGCATTTTTAATTTCATTTATGAATTCTTTATCGAAAAAAACACATATAATAAAATTTATTGCAATTTTTAAAGTGTGCTTACGAATGAATTATTAATATATAAATTTTATCCATTCTGTATTCGAAATGTGAATATAAAATTTAATAATTAATGGCACAAGTTTTTATATTTTTTTCTTCTTGAAATTAGAAAATGAATAAACGAATGAGTGTGTGAAGCTAAATATAAGGTTGAAAATTGTTTATTTTTTTTTTATATCTAATGCTTTGACAATAATTTGTCTGACAATAAAAAAAAAATATTTTTGCACAATTTATGAATGAACTAAAAGCAAAATTAGAAATATTAATCAATATAATTTGTTTTCAAGAGTTAAAAAATAAGTTGTTCATTTCAGCTAATTTACAGGTGATTGATTTAGAATTTATGAACCTTTTTAAACTACCTATTGAATTAAAGCTGTCATTTGACGTTTGAACAAATTATAATTATTAATAAAAGTTTAAAAACTTGATGGCTGTGTCAAGTTAATTTCAAGAATATTTCTTTGGTTTTATGTATATGTCTTTAATTCCATTTTAATATAACGTAAATTCCTTAAACAGTCTTAAAATCAAAAATTTAAATTCCACAGATATATCAAAACATGTCTTATAAATTTTATGAACGCTAATTTTATTAATAAATATGCATTTTAAAATCGTACAGAAACAAATTTTTTCGATTAGGTTTATGCTCAGTATAATGTCGAGACAATTGACGCCAGTCTTCTTGAATTATATATTTCATCAATGAAGTGTAATGATCATGCAAGTCCTCATTGATCAATGAAAATATTCCGCTTGAGATCAAACGCGATGATTAGAGAAATATTTACGAAAATAGCATTTTCGTGATTTCTGAAATAATTTTCATATTACTTTTTAATTTAAAGCTTATTAGGGATTGTCACGATTTTGTTTTTTTTTTTAAATAATATGAAAATTTTGTCTCAGATTTTGATAAGTTTCCACTTTTCTTATTTTCATACAAAAAAATTCATCTCTATATTTTTAGCGCATTTTTGAAACTTGTTTCGAAAAGGCAGCTTAATAATTCACTTTGTTTGTTCGTTCGGGTGGAGAAAAACTTTTTAACTAGACATCGTAGAGAGTTCTAGTTTGTTTTATTAGCTTAGATACATTGTTTTATTTTCGGGAAACGCATTTAAAAGTCTTGAAACATGTTTTAGTACTATAATTAATGATTTTTATATTTCATATGAAAAAACACGTGATGAGAGCGTTTAGAAATTCGAATTTATTTCTACCGTTGAAAATTTTGAATCTCAAAAAACCGTTAAATTACCAAGCCTTTTTATATGAAAATTTTTTGCAACAGACTGTTATTTATGCTATAATTAATGCTTTTACTGTAACTTTTGGCAAGATACTTTCAAACGCATACGACCGTTACAAAATTTGAACTTCAGAAAACCGTTAAATGATAAACTTTTCTACATAAGCATTCATTATAATTATTTGCTAATTACACTCAAATTAATGATCTTCTAATCTTCTAATGATCTGTAAATGAACTCAAAATAATTATATAATCAAATACTGATTGCTAACCCAAAAATGCGCTTAAGTCCCTCGATCAATCCTCGAACACGAGGACTTCTGTAATTTTTTTTAAATATTATGATTACTTGCTCTCAATTTCTAAATAAATCACGGAAAATAATCATGTAAAAATATTTTCATTTTATAAGAAATTTATTATGATGAGATTTTAAGGGCACGGCTGACTTAAATACTTCTGAAAAAAAAGATCGTGATTTTTATAAATTGCAACACGTGTCATATTGAGATCATTTGAATATTAAAAACATGAATTCTGATAAATGATATCACTTTTGCTGATTGATTCACTTGAATGAAAGATATACTTTAAACAGCATTGACAGAATTCGGAATTTCATAATTATATGTACGAATGTACAATTAAGAATCATTTAGTAATTGCATTTTTAAAGTGAATATGTTTAGAAAGAGTATTAATAAATGTAGAACCTTTTATAAATAAAATAACTGAAAATTACTTGACCGCTGCAGGTTATAGAACAATCAACCAATTACGTTGTAAGCATGATTTTGATTCATCGTGTCTTAATTACAATGCAGTGCATTCAATTCAGTAAGATTTTCTCTAGCTGATTTGAATAGGATTCTTTATGCAAGTTGTTCAATAGTAAAACTAAAAATATGCAAATTTACATTGTCTTACTTGATTTCGTCATCAATGGAGTTCAGCTGCTGATTCATGTGATGATAAGTAATAACAATAAACATTTTCTTTAGTAAAATATTCTTTTGAGGTTGTTAACATTTTGACAAAGATGCAGTAAAAATGTCCTTTATGTTTTTTTTTGTAAACTAGCAAGGAATTTGAGGAATTTGTTCGTGAAGATTTATTTAATTTAACCTTACGAGTAAATCATAAAAAAAAGATTAACATTTTTCAAACAGTATTTAATGTACATTAAAATAACTCAATTAAATTTACCATATTGTACATAACTATTTCTCACTTAATTAAACTCAATACGTAGTTAAATTTTCAATTGATTTTAAGTGCATATAGCTGTTTTATGTCAATTTGTTAAAGCAAATTTTTTAATGTTTGCGAAGATGCGGCCACATAAAAAGCTACGAGTCATACAAGTTGACTAGTTATAGTTTGGAATCGCAAATATAACTTCATCTCATACCAAGTATCAGTAAATCGACTACAGCTGTTTTCTATTTAATGTCAAAATGTTTTAAGGTCAAATGCCACTTTAAGCATTCAATTTTAATTTACTTTTGACTTAACGATCATTATGAAAAACATTTTTTTTTCATAAATAGATTATTTGCATATTTTCTTTATTCGCTTCAAATATGCATTTTATATTTACTATAAGAAATCATTTCTGTGGTGGCGGTAAGTCACAAAACAAGAGTGTTTTAAAATTTATATTTGAAACAACAATAAAGTCTTTTAAAACAAAAACAAAAGAATTCAAGGCTTTGCGTGATTTTAATTATATTTTTATGCGACACAACAAAATGCATAAATTTGTTACACTAAATTTGTTTTAAAACGATAAGCATCACTTACTGAATGAGTGTCTTTGTAAGCTATATTAGTTTCTAGTGGAAAAAGATGCTATGCAATTAACTATATCAATTACACTTCTCTGCAAATTTTTATGCATTTTTAAATTTTTTAAAAAAATATAATGATCTTTTGGGAATTACATTGATAGATTTTAAATTTTCACATTTTAGTTTTTATAGATTTCAAAAATTTCACCATTCTTTTTTATTATTTTTATTTTCAGTTTAACTTTGTAGGAAGAATATTGGGACCAAGAGGTATGACAGCAAAACAACTAGAACAAGAGACAGGATGTAAGTAGATATTATTGTGAATTAAAATTAATAATATAATAATATTGATAATGACTCATTTTCACAGGTAAAATAATGGTACGAGGCAAAGGCTCAATGAGAGATAAAAAGAAGGTAATGATTTTTTTAATAATCAGCTAAAGATGTGAAAAAAATGAATCTTTTTCTGTCCTTTGACAAATTAAACTGAATAGCTTAATTTTGAAAAGGGTAAACAGTTACTTCTTAATTGTATACTGCTATTTAATGGCGCAGTCAAATTTGTTTAATTTTCATCGTTATTGTTCTTTAATATTTTGTTCATTTGCATTCACGAAATCATTTGTAAACCATTCTACTGGATAAATAAAACGAGAACGAAAACATGACATCGTGTGTGCGCACAAATCTGTCAAAGAGATCATTTAAATCGTTTTGTCTTAAATCGTTAAACACATTCATTACAATAAATTTATTTTCGCTAAATGATAAATTAATGTTCAAATTTTTTTGTCATCATTCTATTTATTTGCTATAAAAATAAACTTAATGCAGAAAGGACATATATTGGATATTTGAGTTTTTGTACCGTTTTAATTTTTCTTCTTATGATTGGTGCTAAAATTTTCTGCACATAGATTGTTATTTAACCTACTATTTATTTAACTTAAACATTCTGAACTAAATTCATTGACATTGTACAGTCTGCGGCGTAACAAAAAGGTTGAATTAAAAATTTTAGCATTTTTTTATAACTCGAATTAATCATGATAATGGCTATATTGTTACCATCAACGCTTTTCTGTATGCATTCAGTATATGTCAAGATAAACAATGAGTTTTTTCTTCTTTTTTTTTGAAACTAATTTTAGCGACTCATTTAATGATTTTCCACTGTCAAATTAGCCCGTCAAATCTGCATACTTATACATATAACAGTCTTTGACTTTTGTCTTTATTTATATTATAAATTTACTTCATCTTAGTGTGATTTTTCATTATAATGCTCGCGTTTAACTTTTCAAACCTTTTTTGTTTAAATTAACATCTAGTTTTCTAATCTATTGATAAACATGCTAATTAGTTCAAATTTTTGATTGATTTGCTGCTCAAAACTGCTTTTATTTATAAAAAAAGCTTAATTAATGTTTAAAATTTTTTAAGAAGAATATCACTTGGTCATAGAGCATAGAAGCAACAATTTAAACTTTCAAAGTAATTATCTAACCATTAATGCAGAAAATCATGTGTTTATAATAATATCTTATTGTGAAATCTTAAAATAAATATATCTCTGTTGTAAGATATTGATTTTTCTGTCTTCATAAAAAAATATATAAATTCTTCGATAGCATAGAATTTCTGTGAGTTTTTTTTAAGTTATAAATAACATTATTATTATTAAAAAGACAAAAAAAAATCACTTTAATATCATTTGACACCTTAAAAATATTTTTATGTTAGATTGTAAAAAATGTCACAACATTCCATTAACTTCTCCACAGACGAAGTAATTTTGTTTTTTACATTTGTGTGATCATTTTGACAATCTGAAAAACTTTTCTAAGTCGAGAAGGAGACTTTTTTTATTACCAATCTCGTCTTCATTATGGAAGATTGAAGATAATAAAAATTTGAGATGTCATTAGGCAAAATTAATTGTCGAAGGAGTCATAAAATAAGAAAATATACGATTAGATAGGGACATAATGACAAAACTTATTATTCGTATCTGGTTTATATTTACTTTAAGCAAATGATTGGAAACTCTAACAGTAATTTTCTTCAAATGAAAAATATTTTATTTTGGTCACTTAAAATATATTTTTTTATTTCAACATTTGTAAAATTTGAAATGAGAGCCCAAACATGTACCAGAAAAATCAGTAAAAAATTCTAACCTCAATGTTTGTTACACAACATAACACATTAATGATATTCAACAAGATTTATAATTCAATTTAAACGAAATATGACTTTTTATATGCGATTTTATACTCAAGTTAGCTGGTTTTTTTTTTCATGGATTTTCCATTTTCTTATTTCAAAATGACTTTCCGGAAATTTTTTATTTATTAATTCCACACAACATAAAGTCAAAGACAGAATATAAAAATTAAAAAAAAAAAGTTCTTCTGCTTCATCATTCTGAAAGATTTATAGACTCTTATCTGCATGATGATGTTGAGCTAACGTGAAGTAGGAGGAAAATATAAGTAGTAAAAAAATGTTATAGGGAACAAAACTCAATTATCATTTTCGCATGGTAAAATGAAAAGTATGCATACGTATGTAGTAAATTTCACGAACCATGAAATTACTGGAAATTACATATTATATATTTTATTATATTAGACAATGTGTAGTTATTCTTTTATTTTACATTTGTGAATGAATTTTCTACGGAAAATCGAACATTAAATTGTAACTTGATTCACAACTTTTAATAAAGAGAGTCAAGTATATTTTTAACAAGATTTATTTCACAAACTTAATGTATGAAGGCGCGAAAAAAAAATTTCCTCATTTTATTTTTCTGTTGTTATCTTTTAGCGATAATTTCTTCCATCTTCTTTTTCTTACTCCTGTACAGGTTAAAATTTGAATACTGATGAACTGAGCATGTCGGAAATTTTTGTTTTTTAAAAATTAAATTGTATGAAAAACATCTCAAAACAGAATTAATAGTTAAATTATATTTCTTAGAAATGAAGTTTTAATATGTAAAAAATGCATGCATCGGTATGAACAAAATAATTCAGAATTGATGTGAAACACACTTTGTGAAGACAGACATCATGACGAATTTTTCTGACCTGAACTACAAGTTTCATAAGTTATTAATTTTATACTTCTTCACAATTTTTTCCTTTATTGCATGTGATGATTAATTACGTCTTTTTTTGTAAGCATTTGCAATTTTGTATTCAACACATCCTGTAATTAATTGCAGCATTTCAATTGTTAAATATGTGGAAAAAATATTTTTTTTTATTTTTTATATATTTTGTGGTTAAATAAATGATGTCAAAATAAATTAGTCATACCTGTGAACTGTAGCTGTCAGTGCTGCTTGCTTGTCAGGTTATACATTTAAAGGTTTATAATCACCCACGTAAATTCAGGAACAAATTATCCAAAGAAAAATCGCATGAAGATGAAAAACTTTTTCACATTCTCACTAGCTCAATTTTTCATTTGTTACAAAAATATGTTATACTTTATTTGGTTTTATTTTAAATTAATTCTAAGTCGGTTTTTTTTTATTAAATCATTAGGAAGATGCAAACCGCGGAAAGCCAAATTGGGAGCATTTAGCAGACGATTTGCATGTGCTCATTACAGTTGAGGACACAGAAAACCGTGCAAAACTTAAACTTCAACGTGCTGTTGAAGAGGTTCAAAAGCTTTTGGTGCCAGTAAGTATTTTCACATACTGAATTCAACTCTAATAATAATAAATGATTTAAATGAAATTAACAGCAGGCAGAAGGTGAAGATGAATTAAAGAAAAGGCAATTAATGGAGTTGGCTATAATCAATGGAACATATAGAGATTCAAGTACAAAGGCAGCAGCAGCTGGTAAGCATTTGTTGATTGTTCACAATTTTATACATTTGTAAATTATCAATAATTTTTTTTGTTTTCCGCCTTTTATCAATAGCATGCGAAGAAGAATGGCGTAGATTGGCTCAATCAGCAGCAGAAAACCGTCTATTATCACCAGGAATGCAACAAATACCAAATCAGATGCGCGCAACACAAGGAACACCTCTGGGTAGTATTTTCCAAACTGATGTGAATCTTCTAGCATATGTACATAAGTTACATTCAGAACCTACATTTACAGGTGCACCACTTATTCTTTCACCGCGTATGTCCGTACCAACGACAGGTGCTAGTCTCCTCTCAAGTCAACCAACACTCGATCATTCGGGCTTAATATATGCCGCAGCTCCATTTACTGATTACACAAATTATGCAGCACTTGCAGCAGCTGGAAATCCTCTATTGACAGACTATGCTGATCATACTGGTGGGTTATTTGCTCGATAAGAGTCTTTTTACTTTTTTAAACATTTTATTGACAACATTTGATTTTATCCTCTAAAACGATACATATAATAACTTAGTTCTTATATTACTATTATTACTGATTATTACTTTTAAAAAAAATCACAAAATATTATTACAAAAATTTAAAATTTTTGAAAAGAAAAACAAAAACTTTACAAAGAAAATTTAGATTAAATAAGGAAAATAACAAACGATTGATTATCGAAGAAAAACAATCAAATTTTACGAAAAGAGATGAACAAAATTTCGAAAAAAAAAATTAATTACTTTAACAACAATTGCCATACACAGTAATAACTAAAGATCGTGAAAGCTAATATAAGGGTTTTAGATTGTGGACAATTTTTTCAATAAAATATTGTGTAAATACATATTATTTAGCGCTGATGTATGTTTTAAAGCTAAATTTTTAAAAAATATTAACAAAATAATTAAAATGTATTAACTGTATGTAATTTTACGACTATTAAACATTTTTCCTGCTCAGACATCTATTAAAAGTATGAAAAAAAAAATCTTGGCATAAAGTAATACAAAATTAACTTCAAACTGTATGCTTCCAATTAATTTCATCCTCACTTTCAAAGGACATACAAAATTTTATGCAAAATATTTTCTGTGAAATCATTATGCATGCATGCTCGATTGAAATCTTAGAAAAACTTTTTAACAGCAAAATTCCTCTCGCAAATTAAACTGCTTTCTATTCTATTTAATATATCACTAAACATCACTTTAATAACTAAGCATTATTATACGTAATTTATAATGTCTCATAATATTTTTAATGTTCCTCGAAATGGTTTACGGTTCATTTCATATTTCTTTTTGTTTACCGTGTTAAATTCTTTCTTAAAAAGAAAAAAGAAATGAAAAAAACAAAAAGAGCGAAGGAAAATATTTTTATATTTATATGAAAATAAGAATTTTTTGTTTTAATGAAATGATTCTATTTTTTATTTCTGATGATTATTATAGTGCGAAAGATTGAAATATCTCTGGCAAATGTGGCAACATGTGGGATATTTTTAATTCTTTTTTATCCTAACCAATTGTTTCATTTAGACACAATTATTTACTGATACACAAAAGGTTTTCTTGACTCGAAAGTATTGAAGATAATGATCAATAATTGTATGGAATCAAAACCTCATATATCATAACATCGGTTAATTTAGATGTCAGTAACTGTCAGCTAATTGAATTATTGAATAAAACTCGGTTTATTGTATTTAATAAATTTATACATTAGATATTTAATCATCACAGCACATAGAATCATTTCATACAAGATATATCAATAAAGCAGTATTATAGCTAGAAAACAGATTTGGAATGAATTAAAAGTCATAAAAATATGATACCAATGCATAAATGTATTTCAATTTTTACATGTTTGATCTGAAAACGCATTATGGGACAAAATTATTTGGTTGTATCATGTAGAAAAATTTTCATTCATGTTTACATCTTTTTTTCGTAATTTTTATTTTCTTTATTTTTTTTTGTTTTTCTTATTTTTTGCTTGTTGTTTTCTCGCTTTTTATTTTAGATGAAAACATTATCTCGCTTTAATGTTCTGTGAATAACACTAAGAACTTAAGTTTAAAAAAATATTTAACATAATTTCAACATTTTGCGAGAAATTCTGCTTATACATTTTAGTCTTTTTCAAAAATCTTATTTTTGAGACAATTTTATTTATAAACCTCTAAAAACGAAAAAAGCATTTATCTTTCACTTTGTAAATCCAAAAAGAATTTTCAAAAATTCAAAAAGAAGATTTGTTTATAATGAAACTTAATAATAATCTAATTAACAAAGCAACTGTAAGCTTCAGTTTAAATGACTGTAAAGAAGGAAAAATGAAAGAAAATTTAAAGAATGCCAAAGTGACAAATATTTTGCTCATATGCACAATTGTTATGCCCTAATTTTCTGTTTCAACTGTGTGAGGCACTTTTTTGATTTCTACACAGGCAATTATTTTAATTTATTTTATTGTTATTTGGATAAAGTTTTACAGATAAGTTATGAGCATTGCCATCAATTCTGAACAACTTTTTTTCTCGTCTGTCTGGTTCAATATAATTCTCTTGAGTAAATTTCCGTCAAGAAAATAAGCAAAAACTTTTTCAAAAATTAAAATATTAAAAAATAAAACAGAAGGAAGAAAATCCATCACCGAAAAAATGATAAAAATTATTTATAAATATTTTAGATTGCCTTAATTACACTATAAATTTGAATTTACATCAACGTTGGAAAAATGATTGTGGCGTTAAAAACATGAGAGAGAGAAACAGAATGAATACTCAGTCGAAAGATTAAGATGGAATGAAATTTATTTTCGTCTTTCATTTTTCCCTCTAGAAAATTAAATCTCATCATTTGGAACAAGAACGCTACGTCCAATTTATTATAATATAATTAATCTTTTTTTAATTTTTTTAACTAACACCTTATGTATGTTCTTTTATTAAAAGTTTCCAACTCATCTAACTGCCGATTTATGGATATATACTTACTTTAATTTAGTTTATGTTATCATATGTTTTAATGACTTAAAATATCTTTATTTCTACTTTAAATTGTAAAAAAACCATGTTTTATGTTTTTTGGTATTTTTTTTTTGTTATTTTGCAGTTGGTCGATATACATTGCATGCTGGCTCCGTGTTTTGAATTTATTTTGTTTAGTATTTAAAATTGGTTTCATTTTTAAAAGCAAGAAACAAATCGCCATACATCCATGATTGAAAATTTTTTGTACATTAATTTGTTAATAATCTTTAACGGACCATAAAAGAGTTTTTAATTAAGTTTATGCGCCTATTCAAGTAAATCTCATTTTTTAAAAAATGCCGTTTAGGAAGATAGAACCAAATTTATATACAAACAATTTTCAATTTTATACACATCATAATATGAGATAGAAATTATAAAAATAATTCTAATTTAAATTAAATTTTTAAACTTTATATTTTTATATAAGAGACATCACACAAAAATTCCGTAAGAAATTGAAAAAGAATTTCGCACATTTAAAAGAAATGAAAAGTATGAAAAATTTGCTGCATAAAAAAATAAAAATTTTGTACACTTTTCACTTCATATATCTTCTTTACAGTAATGTAAGAAAAAAAAATCTTTTAAAAATTATAATACGTTGTATAAATTTCACTTAAATATTATTATGGAACTACGCACTATTTAGGTTAGTTGCCTTCCCCACATTCAGCATCTTGCATCATGAGTTAAAGTTTTTTTTTTCATTTTCTAAAATTATGACTTTATGAATATTATATTACAACTTTTATGTTTTCCTTAGAAATATTTTTTTTTATTATCGTTCGTTACTTTATAAATGTGTAAATGTAAATTTGAAACGGAAAATATCCAGGAAAAACAATTTTAATTTGAAGAGTAAGAAACCATTTACAAAGAAATGGCCATTAATCTTAAAACAATTTAAAATTGTTTCTAATTCGGAAAATCCAACTTTTAATAATATGAATATATTTGAATTAGTGATACAATAAAAGTTATTGAAACTTTTTTTATAGCAAAACAATCAATTTTAAAATGATTCAAAATTTTATACTTTATACTCTTGTGTCGTATTAAAAACATGGTGTAGGACATCATCTTGATCCCCTGGAAATGTATAAAAAAGAAAAATCTTCAACGCTCGGGGTTACTTTTTTCATACGTACATCTTAATTTTAGTTCAGGATGTATACCTTAATACCTGAAACCATTTAATTGGTGCTTAGAACATTTCAAATGTTGAATATGGCGGCAATAAATTACAGAATTTTTTATAACATTACTTAAATATTAAATAAAACCAAATTTTCCGTCCATAGTCTTCTTTTGGCATGTTTTTTTGCCATTATTGCAATATTTTTTATTTATAATTTTTTTATTGACAAAATATTTTTTTTTTAAATTATTACTTTATTTTATCATATTGTAAAACTAGTCATTTTTGTTTTTTTTTTCTTAAAATCAGTATCTTTTTATGATTTCAATTGAGAATTTCTAATTTTCGCGTTAAAAATGTTATGGGATTTCTATGGAAGCATTGCAACTTTCTATTTTATATCTTTTTTAAGATTTCATAAAAATATGACAAAAATTTAAATTTTTAATAATTTTACATCATATTTTCGGTTATCAAAAACATTTTCACCGTCCACTATAGAACTCAGTAAGAGGAAATTCTAAGTCCTTAAAACAAACAAATATCCAAATACTTGATGAGAATGATAAACTATCTCATATGAAATATTAATTTTTTAAGTATAAAATATAATACATCACAATGCCATAATAATATTTAGTACAGAAGTGAAAATTTTGTTCAGTTAATGAATGTAATTGAAGGTTTTCATACAAACAAATCAATCAAGTGTCATGATCAAAAATTTATAAATCTAGTTCTAAGTTAGTAATAAAAAGTTGATGGAAATGAAAGAATTTTTTAACCGTTGTCATTTATGATCAAATTTTTTGAGGAAAGAAAGTTTCACAAACCAAAAAGCTTGTAAATGAACCAAACTATTCTTTCATCATCATTGATTATTTATTTATAAAAATTTATATACCTAAGTAAGTAGCTGTTAAGTATTTTAGAAAATTGTAAGATGTACGATCAAATCTATGATTCTTATTATAATTTTTAAGAAATCCAAAATGTGAAACATTTAAGCATACTATAAAAATCATTTCAATTGCGCGCAAAATATTTTGAAAGTTAAGAATTCAACAAAATATGAAAAATTTGTTTTCATCTCGCAACAAAGAACTTTGTTTGAGAAAAATTAAAAAAATGTTTAATGTTATAAGTTTTTAATAATTTTATTTCTATTCTGTTTTGTTTCTTCCTCTATTTTAGTAGGTGCATTAAAAACACAACGTCGATTTGTCAGTCGAGAGCATCCATATCAAAGGGCCGGAGCACTGTCATAAAGATTCTCATAAATAGTTTCTCTCACATTGAATTAGTTTAAATGAAAGTTCTTCCTTATTAACATACACACCTGCAAAATGAAAGAGTTCAATATTTTATTTAATCATCATCGACAAATTCATACAAACAAAAACAAAAGTAAAAATAGAACAAAATTTGAAATATTTTTCATGCCATTACAAAAAAATATGAAAAATTCAAATCATAGATTGGTGGTGCTGTTGGGCCCTTTGCTCATAATGACTCAAATATGTGTTTTGCCCAAGGTTAGTTTCATTATTTCTTAATTTATTTTCATTTATTATTTTTATTTATTTTTTAAACTTCCACAAATCGTCAATTGATTACGATAACTTTTGTCTCATTATCTTCGTTGTAACATGTAAATATAAATGAATAAGGACTATATTTTATTCTCTTTGTAGTAAATTTCTCCTTTGAATTTTCACTCGTCGTTTCTCGTTGACTTTGAAAACTTCAGAAATTTAATTTGAAATTCGATTTATTTATTTTTTTTTTATGCTGATCAAAAAAATTAAAAGAATTTTATTCTTTTAATTTTTTTTTTGAAAGAATTTTGAGTGTTTCTAGTAAAAATGATTATTTTGTATCATGTTGTGGTCATTCTCATGAAAGTTTCTCACCTACTTTCCATCTACCTAGTTGGATGTAATGCTTCCTCTACATATATTTGAATTTCGCCGAGAAAATCTTTCATGAAATGTGTCTTAATTATTATAATTATTTTAATTTATTATTTTCAAATTGAAATAAAATTAGTTGAATTATTATTAGTTTTTATCGTTAAATATTTGAAAGAATATACCGCTTACTCTTCAGAAATGGACATATTTATATTTTCCATTTTTTTCTTTTTTCTTAAACCATTTTAGTTTTTAAAGCTTTATCATGAAGTTACCGTAATTTAAAACTAATTTCAATTATTTTTTAATTAAATTGATCAACTTTTTTCCCCCATATTACGAGACACTGTCATTTTGCATTTAGACAAACTACAAAATTTATGAATCTAATTTTAAACTTTCACCTGAAAACTCTTTTTAAAAATATTGTTTCGACATTTTTCTGACTGTTTTAAAAGCATTCATGATGAAAAGAGGGCTGGGGGCGGTTTTAAGGTTGTTTCTCAAAACTAATGTTTATTTTACACAGAAATAATGTATTCCAATTTTTCTTAAGATTGCTTTAAAATCTAACATTTTTCTCATAATTTTTTTAAGAAAGGTTTATTAAAATCTACACAAAAAATATTGTTGACTTGTGCCTGTTGCGAAAGAATCAATAGAAATAATTTCAAAAACAAGAAAAAAAAATTTAAAAAATTGCAGCAAATTGATTGAGATGAAAAAGGACAATCTATGTTAAAAAATTAAAAATGATTATGAGTAAGGCTTAAAAAAATATATTGATGTGAAGAATTTATTATTATTCATAGAAAAATTAAGTTAATGAAAAAATTCCTTTGCACAGTGAATATTCTTTATTGAAAATTTATTAAGAATGAGATCAAACGCCATTGAAATTCTTTATTTCATTCTTGCCTATTTTTTTGTGCATAGACTTCTTGGAAACAAATGTTCATATTTAAAAGTTTTGTATTTTTTTCATCTTCTCGATGATTGATTCTATATTAAATACTCAAGTGCCATTACATTCTCAAATTACACATCTTTCACAAGTAGGTTTTAATGTAGCAATAGAGCATTCATATCTCACGAAGAGAGCTTCCACATTTGAAATAAAAATGTCATTTATACCAAAAATTCTTCTTTAGAATCAAATACTTGAGAATCGCGATCAAATCTCAATCAGTAAAAATTTGTTTGCAAGAATTTCAGGAAAATTGTAAGCATTAATGAGTTTAAAGAATTTCTTTTCAATCAAAGCTCTTATTTCAAATTATTATTCAGTGAAAGTGTTGAACTTTGAGGAAAATAATTTGATACTTGATAAAATACATGTAATAATTTTAATTTGCTACTTTACGATTATTATAATGATTATAAATATTTGAATCATAATATCTTTTTATTCGTTCAAAAAACCTGAAGAAAGAAAAAATTCTCAATAAAAATCTATTTATAGAAAATTTTTCAGAAAAAAACAATAAAAGTGAAGTTTTCTTTCAAATTTAAATTTTTCTCTTTTGTTTTGTTCTTTTAACACAAATATTGTGCTTTATAATATTTTTTTAATATTAATAACTTTTTCATTTGATAATTTCTACTTACTCAATCTAATAAATCAATCTTTTTTTAACTTAATTCAATAAACCAAAAAGAATAACAACACTGAATAATAATAACAATAATGATGATGCAAAAATAATAATTAATCAACTAATTTACTATTTTCAAGAAATGTCTCCTGAATTTTCTATAACATTCTTAATTTATATACAGGAAATACTTAAACAAAAATATCTAATGGAAGTAACTGTAATGTTCTAATGAAATGTCTTTCATAAGGATTATAATCTTAATCTTTAGAAATCACATTTTTTAAAAAGAAATTCATTTTAGTTTTATTTTAAAAGCTAATTTTATTGTCCTTCTCATAAAGCGTAATAAGCAGTGTTGCATTCTGGCCATTCGTCTGGATCAGATAAATTCTGAGACAGAAATTTCTTCATAAAGATCGATTCTACATGAAGATAGAAAATCTAATCTACATAAAGAATCTGTCTACATAAAGATTCGATGTAGATGTCTACAATTCTACATTCTTCTCTGATGTAGACATGGAAAAAATCTTTATGTAGACAGAATCTTTATGTTGAAATAATCTTTGTGTAGATTAGATTTTCTATCTTCATATAGAATCGATCTTTATGAAGAAAGTTTCTTAGCTAGACAAAAACTATTGAAGAATCTAAATTCTTCATCTAGTGTAGACATCTACATTTGCAACACTGGTAATAAGCTTAAATAAGAATTAATTTGATTTTCTACAAGAAAATTTGATTTCTAATACTAAATGCAATGGAATTTGCTTGTCATTATGAATGTCTCAAATTAATACATTTTCTATTGTATCTGTTAACTGCACAAACTTAACAACAGGCAAAACTTACTTACAAATTGATAAAAAAAAAATCGTTAATGCTAAACTAACAGAAAGAATAAGTTGAATTTTCGATATCGATTTGACATTTATTATTTAGATATCTTAAATTGCCATAAATCTACAAAACTTAAAAAAAAAAACAGCTGTAAATTATGAGCACAAGTTAACAAACAATTATGTTGCATTTCGATTATTGAAACAATTCTAACTCAATTAATTTATTATGAGATATAACGTATATAGATCCTTGGTCGTTTAACAAGGAAAACTTTACAAAAATCCACAAAAGTCCATTCATGTCCTTTGTTTTTAATTATTAAAAGCATATTTTCTCCGGTGTTTTGGGGTCCATGTTGTGTCCAAACGAAGAATTAATAATTTTACTTCTCTATCTTACTCTTTTCTTGCATCCTTCCACATAATTTTCACATTTGTCTTTGTCATAAAAGTACAGTTGACGATATTTTTTTATTTGTTTTATGATTTAATTATTTGTTTAATTTACATTAATTACTGCAAATAGATTAATTGAAAGTTGTCTATGACAAAAATCAATAAATCTGTTATTAGAAACATTTATATTTTTTTTTGGAAAGTCACTTGTATATAGATAATTTATGTCTTTAAATTGTTTGTTTAACATAATTCTTTTATAATCTTAATCCTCAAAAATTGATGACATAGTCCAAAAAAATATTTAAATGTTTCAAAAAAAAGATGTACAGGAAATTAAAGACAAACTTTTCGTTATTAATTTTTTTGTTACTTAAAAGGATTTTAAACGGAAGAATAGGCAAAAAAAATATCGTTGTTATAGGTTTTAGTAAGAAAAAGAAGAACCACGTGAAAGAAATTTTTGTAACTAATCATATTATATTAACTACATATCTTATATGCTTAATTAAGTTTCCTTTATCTATCCGCACTTTTGAGTAATCATTTTTGTAAGCACACAAAAATTCATTTTATGCAACAAACTCACATCTTTGTCGCATGTTAAAATCCATTTTATCTATCTATGGCACTTAAATGTTTTGCATCAAAGCATACATTTTTCTTTATATACATTCACATGCCAATAGATACTTCATGTACGACTAATTTTACCTTCTTAAAACTAGAATTAAAAATTGAATGCTTTTAATAATTTTGCCTAATTTTTAATTTTATCTTCCTACATCTTAAGAACATAAAATTTAGTAACGTTGGAAAAAATAAATCTTTAACTATTCTATTCCATTTTTTTTTTTGCAATCATAAGACAACGATAGATCCTCAGATTACAACAAACCTTGTAAGATGAGCTGAAAGATTTTAAAAATTAATCTTTCCCTAATGTTATGAACCACTTAAAAATGTTATAAAAATGATAAATTTTTAATATTTCCTAACAAGTTGCTAATCATGAGTCGATAGCATTAAAAAATTGGAATGGCACTCAGGTGATTTTATCCAATCATCAACGAACCACTTGGTTATCTCAAAATTTTACTGCTATGCAAATAAATTTTATGTCTCTTGAAATATTAATAGCCAGTTAAGTCCTCTTTTATGGTTGGATCTAAGTTGATTCTCTTATGATTGCATTTAAACACTGCAGTATTTTATTGATAATAATTTAATATACATTTATTACAAAATTAATTAATCAGTGAATGTTTTTTTCTCTCTCTAATTTACAGCACTAACATCTAAAAACAAAAAATATGTATTTAATTCGTATGTATCTTTATTGCTCTTTTATTTACTACATCCAGCCATCTCTAAAACAAATCGTCACGTTCATTTACTACTACCACTACTCCTACTACTTAAAATAATATAAATATATTATATTATCAAATTAACACCGGTGCCATGGTAGAATGAAAATATAATTTTTTTAAAAAAATTATCTTGTTAACAAAAAAAAATATATATATACATATATGATATAAATTTATAAACACAAAGAAATCTCTGATGATAACTTTAAACGTGTAAGGAAAGCGAGTGTTTTTGATTGATTGATATATTGATTCATAACTCATAAGTTACTATAACTACAATTTAACAACGCACATTGAAGCTGATAATAAGCGATGGAAAATTTCTTAATAGCATTAAATTAATTGAAGTTTAAAATAGAAACTAATTTATATCTATTGAAAGAATTACTTGATAATTTATGTATTCATGTTGTTGAAAATTTATATTTGATAAGCATGTTCTTATAACTTTTTCTAACATAAAATCTTATTGAATTTACTAAATGAAATGAACGAGAATCAGAAGAATTTAATGAAAGGAAGATGAATTGATTGTAAATGTATTAAAAAAGCCACCATGTAGAACGATAGCACAATTTATAATCTATGTTTTATGTTTAATTCACAATTTTCGTTAATTTATCATATTAATTGCTATAAAAAGGATCAAATGCATATCATAAATTACAGAAACTCACCTTCCAATCAATGCACAAAAGCTAAATTTCATTCATAATTGAAATGAAAGTTTATACAAATTTTTTCCTTTTAATTTAGTTTATAAATTTAATGCAAAATTTACTTAATTATTAAAATCAACTATAAAGTGGACAGCAATACCTTTTTTGATGTTATTAGATTACATTCAATTCATACATCAACAATACTTTATGGATTAATAAATTGATAAAATTTAAGAAGCACGAGAGATAATGTTATATAAAAATAACAAGAAGAGGTGTTAACAACTCAACATTTTAGGAATGCAAATCATGAAAATAAATTACTGCTAATGTCTTGGATATTTCAGTCAATTGATCATATGGATGCAAGCTATGTTTTAATCAAATAATACTACTATCTTCATTTTTGGCTATAAGATCAATATAACTTTTAATAACGAGTTGTTCGAAAGAGCAAGGCACTCGGAAAACCAAGAATGCATCCCCGTTGATCAGCTTTACCCATCCTAAATGCGATAAGTTATTCGTCCAAATTTGATTTGTAATAACAATTGAATAAATTACCAATATTGATATCTAATATTCAATAACAATAAATTTATGTTTCATAAAATTCATATACTATGGATATTGCGAGACGTTATTGAGTTTATGATTTTTGTTTGACATTGACAATATGTGGATTTTCCAATCAATTATTGACTTCATTCATTACAAAATCATTACGTACATCATTGAATCTGAAATAAAGATCTGAGCCTCCTGCTAGAAATTTGTAAATTTACACTTCCTTTTTACCATAAAAGAATATTAATGTTAATATTAAATAAGATGCAATAAGATTTTCTAGTGTTATATATTCTATTAAATAGTTGTTTTGACATATTTTGAATTGATTGTTTTCTTCTTATTGATAAATTTTGTAAAAATGAAATTATAATCAAAAACTGCAACACAAAATGTGCCTTAGTAATTAATAATTATCATAATGAAAATAATTAAAATAATAAGCAATGACTAAAAAGAATAAAACTTTTTAACATATAATTGCAATAATGAATCAAAATTAATAATAATAAAAAAAATGTCTATTTAATTGAAACAAAATTTCATCACTTTGTTAAATATAAACGGAAGTTAATTAATCGAGATCTGAAATGTAGTAACAAAATGTTGATTTGATCTGGAGAATTAAGTATTTTACAATCATCTAAATTAATTTTGCGTTTATTTTAAAGCTTTATTAAAATTTTCAAAATTTTAATTTTTGTAGCATGTAGATTGATTGTAAATTTTTTAGCTATAATACTCATCTCCCTTTTAAGTTTTCTTTTTACTTGTCAGAAGACAACTAATGCAGAAATATAAAATAAAATATTTGAACATAATGCATGCCACATAATTTTTTGCAAAAACAGTATTAAGAGTAATGTGAAAAACAGAATCAAAGTTAATGATATACATTTATTAGGGATTTTTTTGGATGTGCCATGAACTCATTAGGTTTTTATTACTGAAAAGAAATGCGTTATCATTCAGGATAACATTTCAAATCAAAAAGGCTATTTGCAAATAAACTTTCGAACCTTGTTTTGGGTATTTATCCCAGATTTTAGTGCATTGCTGATCAGTTTAACATTAATTTCACATAAAAAATATTTCTAAAGAAAATAATTGAAAATTAAAACTGCAAAAATAATAACAATAATAATTAACTTCCTTGCTATAAACAGAAGCTATTTTAATTATTATTAATGTCATTCTTAAAATGAAATATAAACCATAAAAGTTTTAATCTGGTTTGCTCATTTAAAAAAAAACAATACTTTTTTCCTCATCAAATTTTGAATATATATAGTATAAAATTTACTTAAAAATTGAGTACCAAGAATAATTTTTTGCTAAACTCTAACCAAAAGTCCATCCACTAAAGTGAAAAAAGGAGAAAAAAAAATCAACAAATTGATTGATTAAAAAAAGTACTTATAAGATATTAAATTTATTTCTAAGACGAACAGAAAATTTTCAAAACATTTGATTTTAAGATTCCAGAGGGCTAGTGGAATTAGTTACTTTTCGGAAAGTAACATTGCTTCATAAAGTCTTATCAAATTCAGGATGTCATATGTTGCTGCCCATTTACCAAAATATAATTATTTGATAATGCAGTAAGAAAATGAAGATTTAATATCGCAAGAGTGTGACAATTTTTAACCACTTGAAACCTTTTTTTTTTGTGTATTTTAGTGAAAATGATTTCTTCCATTTTAAGTGTCTTTTTTTCATACCCAAAAATGTGCAATTGAATAAAAAAAAATATTAATTTGTTAACAAAAATAAATTAAAAATCTACACTATTAAAACATAATTTATATTTCTTAATTTTTTTGGATAATAATTGCTATTAGATTTAATTTAATAATGTTTTAAATTTATCACATTTCACATTTTCTTTTATAAAATATTAAAAATGGAAAATTAATTCTAAATTAATTAATGCAATTTCTTTTCTGTCATATTACTTTCTATTATCGTAGAGCAAGAATCAAATATTAATGAGGTTCAAAATAATCTTTATATTTTATTTCATAAATTTATATTAATTAATTAATGCTTATAACTTTAACAAAGAAATAATACTCTTTATCCTTTCGTTTATTAATTTTGCTTTGAAAAAAATACATAATTAAATAATATTTAAAAATAGATCTTCTATGTTTTTCTCTTCTTTGAGTGTAAACTTTTTTTTTCTTTTAAAATAAAGAAAATAAAAATTAAATAACTTATTTGTAATTATTTCTTAACAGATTGGTACTAATAACTTAACCTTATTATTGATTTAAAAATTCACTTTTTCCTTTTCAGCATTTTGCATTTTTTCTAGGAATTTTTGGTAGGTTTAATTTCAATCAGGAAACTTTATAACTACTGAAACCAAACGATGAAACTTAAACTATTTGAGATTTGGGAGATTTATTTTTTTTGGATTAAGGAACGGATCAGGAACTTGAAGTGTGGTGGGAGAAATAGGAACGAGAGCTACAAGATTACCTTATAATGGAATATTGTCAGAACGGACCTGAAATGTATCACGTCACGCTCACAGAAGATTGAAACGAGAGCCTGAATTTAATCGAAACCTAGATTTGAAGATTAGAAGCTCTTGATTCTACGTCACCTATAGTGATAAGAAATGTATCACTAATCAATGTAAATAATAATAATATTATAAAATGTATACACACGACATTAATTAGATCATCAATAAATGTATTTAAATTGTTTAAAAATTAAAATCACACAAATTTATTGTTGCTTATCTAAAGTACAATCAAGTGAAGTTTTTGACGTTTGATAATCTTAATTTTGCTTAGATTTGCAAAAATCTTTATGCTGAATAGTAAAATTACCGGGATGTTTATAAAAAGAATGATGAATTGCAAATTTTTGCAGACAAGTAGCGGATTACTGCATTCGATGTCAGTTAAGAAGTCACAGCAAGATTGTTGATAATTGTAGATTCCATAATCGATCTAATACAAAGTAGACGAAACAGTTTTAAACTGTTTTTAAGTATAAGACGAAATTTACCATGTCAAAAATTCGACAACATCCAAAAAGTTTTTCAACTCTCGTCGAAATCCAAAATAAAATTCGTGTTTTTCCTGTTATTATCCTTATGTTCCTAAGATCACGAATTAAAATTTCACTGATTTCTACACTATATCCAAAAGTTGTAAGCAGTAAATATGAAGTACTTAAAATTATTATAACATCAACTACAAGAATAGTCTTCTGAGCATTAAGACAAGAAAATTCCTTGTTATAATCGTGAAGCAAAAACGATATGATTGTTAAACTTCCAATATAAAAACAGACGACGCCTAAAGTAATTAAGTTGTCGTATTTCTTTAAAATTACATATCCACCAAATAATAATAACGCAGAAGCTAAAATTTCTGTTGTAAAGATTATCATTTTATAAAAGCTGTCGGAATATTTCATTTTAACGTTTTAACACTATTAAGGCAAATCAATAACTAGAATTTTAAGCTTGAAACAAACACTTTTTTTAATATTTCATACATATCTTATCAATGTTAACAAAAAAATATGCTGTGTCGTGCACACTTTTTCTTAATAGTTTTTTTATGGTCTTTTTAAGTATATTTTTTTAATGCATGTTACACTTTACAACAAAATCCAAACAATTATAATTCAAAGATTTTCAAATTAATTGAAAAAAATTATTTGAAAGTTTTTTCAGCGCCGGTTATATGAAACTCATTATGTATGAATTTTTTTGCTGCATAAGCCATTATAATGAATTTGATAAAGCAAAAATTATCTGGTTGGTATTAATATTTGAAAACAAAAAAAAAAAAAAAGTCAAAAAGTATCTTAAAAAGCGTTAAAAATAATCGCAAATTGGGAACTTTATTTGAGTTTATTAAATTAAATAGAATCAAAGCGTGGAAAATATCCCAAATATCCCAAAAAAATTCCTGAGCACGTATGCACGATAATAAAGATATCCTAACGTATCCTTAGTATATTGGACATGTAATTTCAGGATATGATGGGATATCTCAATTCTAATGCACACAGGCTCAGGGATTATTTTGAATTTTTTTGAGATATATGGGAAATTTTCCACGCCTTGAACATTTACCACAAAGCTTAAACCTTAAGTATCGTCTAATATTTAGAATATGAAATTAATTTGAGAAACGTAAAGGTATTAAAAATCCACTTTTAAGTTTTAGGAAACAATTGATTCCTATGAAATTACCATCCTGATGTGGTATTTGCCAATCTTCGCATTCGCCTTGTATTTCTATCTTGATCACGAATTTTCTTCTCCATTTCAGCGTCAGTAAGTGTTTCAAGGAAAGGCGACCAAGTATCAGCTTCAGATGGTGCACGGAATGGAATTTCGACAGTTGAAAGTTGAGATTCACTGAATGCATAAGTCCTTTGATGCCATGATAATTGTCCTCGAATTGAGTATGCTATTGCAGTTACAAATTCTCCTCCCAATCCTAGCTCGGCGCACAGCTTTATTGCAAACTCTTCTGGATTATTATCTCTTTCAGACATATCCCATTCAATTTGATCAACTAAGGATGTGTTACCAACGTGAATATTTAATTTAACAATAACTCGTTGGTCACAATTTTCTTCAATGATTGTTTCTGTTGGATATGCTTCAATTTGTTGCCGAATAGCTGTCGAAATAGCTGGTACAAATGGAACTGGATTTAAATCTAAATCATCACATAATATTTCAGCAAACTGTTCAGGAGAAATCATACTCTCATGTTTATTCCATGTGAATGTATCTCGTAACTTTTGTCCTTCAAGTTCCATATCAAGTCTAATCGGTACTAGACATTCTGATTGTGATGAATTTTCAAATATTGCAGATGGATCTGTATCGTCAAAGCACATAGGAAATGTACGAACTTTCTTATTATATACTCGATTACGGTTGATTGGTGTAGCTTGAGGAACTGCATCCAAATGTGATGAATTTGGCATTGTTGGCATCCACGGTGCTTGTTTTTTTGATTTATTATTTTCACGAGGTAACATTGATTCAGATGAATGAACCGCAACAGCTTTATACTTTTCATCATTTCCATCAATTACATCTTGAACTTCCGTAGCTCTTAATAAAGATACAGAGCTTGCAAACAAGTGATTACTGATTCCACTTTCTATCAACTTTTTTCTTTCCTCATTAGTAAGATTTCTTCTGTGCATTCCAGGATATTTTTTGTACAAAGATCCACGGCATAGTCGCAAGTAATTTCCGACCTAAAATCATAATAATATTAGCTATATTAATAAGACGCCGACATTTCAAAAAAAATAATTTTCGAAAATTATGTGCCTACTTCTGATCCTATGCAATAAAATTCACCGCCTTCCTCAACTTGGAAGCTTATTGGCTTATCTCCATATGTTCTTACTGCCATTTTTATTAGTTAAAGACTAATATTTAACAAGGATAATATTTTTTGAGGATGAAAAAGTTTATGAACTAGACATAATCAAACTTGTTTTGATGAACAAACAAACGTAGTTTAGCCCTTTATTTTGAAATAATTTTGGTCGTTATTCTTATTCAAATTTAAACGAAGTTAAAAAAATTACAGAAGTCCTCGTGTTATTGATCGAGAGACTTAAACGCATTTTTGTGTTAGCGATCAGTATTTGATTATCTATTTATTTTGCGTTCATTTACAGATCATTAGAAGATTAGAAGATCATTAATTTTAGTGCAATTAGAAAATAATTACAATGAATGCATATATAGAAAGGCTTTATTATTTAACGGTTAATAAATAATTTGAAATTTTTCACGCTAAAAGTTGCACTACGAAAACATTAATTATAGTATAATTAAATAATTTGTAGCAATGAATTTCCATACAGAAAGAGTTCTAAAGTGTCGTTATGTCTTTCCTTTAATTATAAATACTGTTTATTTGCGTTTAATTTAAGTGTAATATCTTTTATTTAATTAAATCATAATTTTTAGAAAATATGTGTTCTTGACACTTTGAACTGCGCTTTTATAAGAAGGTGTGCAATTACGAGCGAATTCGATCGAGCAAAATGCAATACAAAGTGCGGCAAACAATTCAAATACAAAAGTTCGTTACATATTGTACTTAAATGTTGACTACGCTAGAATTAAGGCATGAATTAGGCTTAAGTTACTTTAAGTGTGTAAATAATATTGTAAATAACTAGCCTGTAAATTAGATTTAAGGTATTTTAACAAATTGACTACAAGAAATGAATATTTAAATTATTAACTACCATTCTCTTAATGACATAAAATGTTTATCATTTAACGGTTTTTTGAATTTCAAATTTTCTAACGGTCAATAAATATTTGAAATTATATTGAAATATTGAAATTATAGAGGTAGTCAAAAATTTGAACAGGTTACACTCTATTATTAAGCTACCTTTTTGAAAAAAAGTTTTCAAAAATGCGCTAAAAACTGAGATTGTTAAAAATTATAATGACAAATTTAAAAGGATGGGTATTGCAGACTACCGTCATTTCATATAACATCCGTTAAATTTATATTCAAAAAAATTCAAATTTTTTATGGCCGTTATAATATTCAAAAATTTTTGACGGTTAAACCAGATTTTACCATGCACTTACTCATTTTGCTCAAATTTTATTCTTAATAAAGTTGAGAATGGATAAAAAAAAATATAAAATTAATAATTTATGAAGAACTTTGGGATTTGTGCAGAATTGGTATTAATTAAAATAATTTATTGTTTACATAATGCAACTGTTTTTTGAAATTTGAATTTTCGGCTCTAATGTCGAAGAAATCGAAATTAATTTCGAAGAAGTCCGAAACGAAATGGCGGTAGTCTGGGGTATTGTTACTTTTTCAAATAGATTCAAAAAAGTGCAGCAAAGGAGTGCCTATTAAAATAACGAATTTTAAAATTTCGAAACTTCCTTTTTACGAACAATTTCATCTTTACGACCATATCATTTTTACGAAAAATTACTTTTTCGAATTTTTTTTATAAATTTCAAATTTTGAAATGTCGTTAATTTCATCACGTGTTCTCTTCAATAATAAATCTGCAAAAAAAGATTAATAGAACAAATGTTTTTAAATGTATGGAATTAAAAAGTATTTTTTTTTCAATATCACATTTCAGGGACTACATGTATATGTTTAAAGGAGTAACAAACACAATTAAGCTCTTAAATCATTTTTGACTACTGCAATAGCTTTTAATGTTTCAACTCGTGGCACAGATTGTCGACAGTTCAGGATTGATTTAATGTAATTCTCTGTCTTTTCAAAACTTGGCATTATATGCTTTTGTGGCTTTCCAGCCAAATATTTGTCGATATCCATTTCGATGGACACAAATTTTTTCCATCAAATTCGTTATTTTAATAGGCACTTGCATCAAAGAATATCAGTGTTCGTTACATTCAACCCCATTCAACAAAATCAAAGTGTCAATACGCAGCAAATCAGTGAGATATAAAATAGCAATGACCTGCAATGACTTAATATGTTTGAGCTTAAATATTATCTCCTATGTAAGGTTTTCGTTGATTCACTCGAACATCAACGAACGACACCTGGTTCATCAGCTGTTAATGCATGTCATAAGAATGCTAATAATTCTCCAATTCCACCTATTTCTATCCCAGAATACTTTTAATTTCAGAGTTTTATGATAATAATAATAATAATAATCAATAATGACAGTCAATCTCTAAATTCTATCTGCAAGTAGTAACAAGGAAAATGTGTGCCAAATAGAAGAAACATTGTCTTCTCTAAAATCGCTTGGCACTTCCTCAACATTGTTTCTGTAATTCTAGTACTTCTAGTCTAATAGATAATAACCTAGAAAATATGCCACGGACCTATAGAAAGAGGTTAAAACTTACGAAATTTTCTTTCGTAAAAAAGAAAGAAATTTCAGAATCATATTCGAAAGTAGTTGGAATAATAATAATAATGTTGGTTTTTGAAACAGTAAAAATATATTACATTTACTCACAAGCTAGATACTCACAAGGGGCGTAGCCAGAAAAGTTTTAAGAGGGGGGCCCATTTTCGAAAATTAAAAAAATTGTTATTTTGTATCCTTAAATCTGGGCAAGACCGCGAAAAAAGTGAACAAATATTGAAAGTTGATTTACTTAGAGTTTAGTTGTTCAATCTTCATAATTCTTTCAGTGGTTTATAGCTAAATACAAAAACTACATTTTTAACCAAAAACTTTCAAAATGGCGACTTCATAAGTTAGTTTAATTTCTAAATCAAACATTCAAAGTGATTTTTCTCCAAGAAGGAAGCTTTAAAAGGAGCTGATATGTTCATAAAAGTTGTTGAGAATCTTATTTTATTTCATTTATCATACACACATTTTCAAATTAACACACAAAATTAGTTAAATTAACCAAAATTGATTTTACATATTAATTTAATGAAATTTTCATTATTGTCCCTCAAAAAGCATTAATTAATGATAAATTACAACTTTCCTGCAAGAGTTTACTGCAATAAAGTCTTCTAATTTAGTTAATTTAAGTAAAAGTTTATTTTACAACTCTTTAATCAACCAAAAAATTTAAATTTTTAAAAACGGTTATAAATTTTTTGTTAAAGTTTTTAAAGTTTTTGCTTTTTTCTTGTTCTATAACATTATATTGTGATATATTTTGCTAGAACTAAGCATATTTGATGTATAATTATCATTTTACATCATAAAATTAAAAGAATATCTATTCAATTGCTATTTAAAGGCAATTTTAAAAAATGACCAAAAAAACTTAATTATACTACTTTTTTCAAAATTTTTTGGCTTCTATCATAAAGCCAAGGTCTAAAACTATATTTGTGTCAAGAAAAAAGTTGAGTAAGTTAAAAATTCAAAGTAAAATATAGGAAAATAAGGTTAAAAACATTAATTAAATTAACTTATTAAGTCGCCATTTTGATTTTATTACTTTTTAATGATAACTGTAGTTTTAAACTATCTATTGCTGAAAAAACTATCGAAATTGGTGTAAAACTAAGCGAGATAGACTAGTTTTAGTAAAATTTCAAATACCCTTCCCAAAAATTCAGTGTCAGATTTTGTCACTTTTAAGACTCCACAACCTTAATTATAGAACTTTCGTAAAAAATTTATATACCAAAAGATAGGCATCAAAAAGTTCTATAAAACAATATATCAAGTTTTATTGTTAGGTTTGTCGTTTAAGAGTAATAGACAAAAAACCATCAAAATCTGACACTTAATCGAAAAACGGTCTTGCCCATCTATATTCATTCTTTATAAGTTTAAATATTTAATTCATTATTCATACATTAAATTTAATTTTTCGATCTGATTTTGACATTTCTTTCATCACTTCCTCTACATTAACTGGTTCTTCTCTATAAATACTTAATAAAACAATTATCAGATTTTCGTAGGGGGGGCCCGGGCCCCCCCCCCCTGGCTACGCCCCTGATGTCGCCCATTGCATTCCTTGTTCCGTTAAGTTATTGTGTAATCAAAAGTGGATGTCCGCTGTATATTTTATACAAGAAAGTAAAAATGTATATGAAATATTCTATTCCCGCACTTAATAATTGAAAAGAAAGAAATTAAAGTACTGGGATAAAGAATGTAAGGATGTAATAATGAATCTTCCAATTTTTATATCAAATCAAAAACGGGAAAGATTGAGGATTTTCAACCTGCAATGTCCTAAGGAAATGAATAAACCATTCCTAAAATCATCTCTCAGACAGATCAAAAACAGAAAAGAGCCTTTTAAGTGAAATGAAGTCGAATTGGAATAAGCTGCTAATGATTTGTACAATAAACAAGATGATATTTAAAGTTTCTCAAAAAAATTAACAATACAAACTCATCTTGAGTTTCCAATCATCATTCACAATAAAATATAATAAAAAGAAACTTAATGCTCCTTAATGCTACTATTTTTCATTGCCAATACTATTAGGGTTGTTAACAAGTCAATCAGAGTAAATTGTTTCAAGTATAAGCGATATAATACATGCCTGATCAACTAAAAGCTATTGCAATCCTTCCTTTCGAATCGTTCGGCATTTGAAGTGTGTCAATCTGCCTTCTCCTTTCTCTTTGAAGTAACGTCTGGAGTTCCGCAAGGCTCCCTCATTGCCCCACATTTATTTAATTTATTCATTAATGATGTTCCAATTCCATCAAAGGGAGATCTCTGCTTATATGCTGATGACACCGCATTCTTTGTACAGTATCCTTGGAAAAACTTGAAATCCATCAAGACTGAGCTGTCAAAAACAGTAAGTTGCCTCCAAAGCTTTTTCTATGATTGGAAAATCAAGTTAAACGAATCAAAAACAGAGTTCATTGTCTTTTCTAAGTCGACAAAAATGATCCAAAATTTAGACAACGACTCGATCCATTTCAACGGCCAGTCGTTCAATTGGAAAGAGTTGGTCAAATACTTGGGCGTTGTTCTCGATCGAAAATTGACATTTAAACATCACATCGATCGTTCGATTAAAAATGCCAGTG